CCTCTAAAAATCTTCTCAGCCGCATCACTGGAGTTTCCACTCACCCAGAAGGGCTTGGGTTCAGATGTTCAAGTAACAGCCTGCTCTCCAGGCTTCTCCAGAGCAAGGAGCTCTCGCCTTTGGCTTGAAGAGCAGATGGGACATGTTACGTTCGGTATGTTTCTGATGATATAAATCTATATTCTGGGCAGCACTTCTCAACTTTGAGAAATGGTATTTAATTACCCTATGACTCATTAATCTTTCTTTATTGTGTTTGGTTTTGGTTTTACTAAGTTAGGTTATGGGAAGCCGGGGGGGGAGGTGAATAGTACAGATGATGTAATGTTTCTTTCCTGTGCTGAGCACCATGTAGTGCTCAAGTATTCCTGAAAGCTATAGCTGCACCAGAGAAGTCTTTAATGAGCCAAGAAAATTGGCCTTATACTTGAGACCCCTTCAAAATTACTAAATTCGACCAAGCTTCTTTATGAATTGTTTCCATCCAGCCAAGAAGCAAATAGTCTCTGCCTGAGCTGCCTCTGTAAATCCAGCTGTTTATGCAACTCCTCAGTCACTGGTGAGACTTCCGGATTCGTAGAGCTTATAGGCAAAGGTGAGTGTTGTAAGCCAAGGACAGATTAAATAAAGTTACAGTCACAAATGCCTGATTTTCTCCATTTTAAGAGTTGTGTGATGGAGATGACGTTTACAGAGAGATGTTTGCAGTGTTGATTATATACTGAGGGAACATTAATACCTTGTAACTCTGTCCTGCACTGAACTCATGCAGAAATAGCTGAGGATAAACATGCTTCATCCTGAAACCGTCACTACTAACAGAGAGCTCCTGCCTGTGGCGGCCAGTTATCGTTGAATCTCTGCACAGACCCACAGAATAATGTAAATTGGAAGGGATCTCTGCAGGGCATCAAGTCTGACACCCTGCACAAGGCAGAGACCACTCGGAGAAGGCTGCTCAGGGCAGTAAAAGTCTTGACACAGTACCTGCTGGAGACACGGAAGGAATTTCCTCAACTCCAGTTGATGTTACTTGGGGCCACAGTTCCCCTTCGTGTTGCCGATACATTATCCTTCTGACTGAGCGCAGCAAAACATGAAATACTCATGAGGAGAAAAGACGCTTGTGGCATAGCCTGATGGGGAGATAAAGCACGTGCTGCACTTCTGAATGCTACAGCCATTGCTATACCATACCTGATCAGCTGTTACAGTGCAAGGTTATGGGACTGAGCCATCAGAGCAGCAGTGCCACGGGATGGCTCCATGCAGTCAGCGTGCCAGATTTGCTTCTGTCACCTCTGGATGCAAATGGCACATTAATACTGGTGCTGCTGAAGAACTGGCAGCAGTTTAGCAGTATTCTTCTCTCGGCTTCTTAACAGGAAAACAAGTGGTCTACGTACCATGATGAATGTGCTTTATGCCACTGCCTGATAAAACTCCCACCACGGCCTGCTGATGCATGGTACTTCTCCACAGAAACTTTCAAGAGGGTTTGAATTGTTGATGGCTCAAAAAAAAACATCTAAAAAAACCTGCCTTCGACTAAGTAGTCTCGCTGTAAGTGGTTTTAAATCTCTCAGGAACCCTATCTCCAAAGCTTGAGTATTAATGACTGCATTTAAAGGCTTTAAATTGACTACAGGTTGACAGGTTCATGAAGACCTTTCAGCAGAAAATATCTCCTTCCAAAATGGGGAGACATTAAAGTCAGATACAAAGTTACATTGCTGTAAATTATGAGAAACCTGAATTTTTAACTGATCTCAAATCACACAGTAGAGAAGCCTGTAAGAGAGACTGTTCAAAAAGAAAGGGAAATAAATGGTTTATTGGCCTTACTTTTTATCACCGCATCTGGGCAGGAATCATCTTCCCATTTACTTGTTTGCCTTGTCCACTGTTACCACGTCTCCCTCATGATGTGAGCTCTCCCCTTCTCTTGGGAAGGAGCTATCATAGAATCATAGAATCATAGAATCATTAAGGTTGGAAGAGACCTCCAAGATCATCGAGTCCAACCATCAACCCAACACCACCATGCCCACTAAACCATGTCCCTAAGCGCCTCATCTACCCGTTTTTTAAATACTTCCAGGGATGGTGACTCAACCACTTCCCTGGGCAGCCTGTTCCAATGTTTAACTACTCTTTCAGTAAAGAAATTTTTCCTTACATCCAATCTAAACCTCCCCTGGCGCAACTTGAGGCCATTTCCTCTCGTCCTTTCGCCAGTTGCTGTGTGTTTGCACAGCATCTCATACAGTGGACTAAGCCCCTGGAGGTCATCAAAATAGGAAAGAGTTCACACAGCGATACCAGCCATCCCAAATGCTAACAACTCTGAGATGGCTGTTGGCTTTGGTTGCCCAGAATCAGGTGCTTCGATCAAACTTTCAGCAAACAGTTAAATTTGCTGAAACTCATCTCATCCTAAGGCAGACCTTTTAAACAGGTCAGAATAATCATACTCTAGAAATGCCTCTTTACTTACTAGTAAGGGAGTATTAAGGTGACTACCTTTAATGAGATGCCTGTGGACTGCATTGAAGCCAAATCTTATTTGTATGAGGATTACTGTAAAAGTAGACATACAGACAAGGAAAAACTGCTCTGAATTTACCAACTTCCATTTAAACAACACAGACACTTACTGAGCAAGCATCATTACTAGGCTGGGAAAGCCACCACATCACCTACTTTTAGATATGTCCAATGTAGCAGTCCACATTTGAGCTAGTGACCCTGAGTTCCCCTTATACTCAATGGGATGACATAAGCATGCTCAGAGTACAGTGTATTTCACCTACTTGAAATTCCTGCCTTATGATGAAACGAATGATGCCCCAGAAGAACCTGCTTCTCTTCACTGACCATCC